GGAGAGGGAACAACAGACAATGAGATGGTTGGATGGCATCACCGACTCAATGGACATGGGTTTGGGTGGACTCCAGGAGTTGGTAGTGGACAGGGAGGCCTGGAGTGCTGTGGTTCATGGGGTCACAGAGTCGGATACAACTGAGCTACTGAACTGAACTGAACTGAAATAATAACCAGGGGGGAAGGTGATATTATAGGGGTGTTATCACTGAAGAGACTGAGGCCCAGGGAAGTCAAATGACTTGCCTAAGGTCACAGAGCCGGGATGTAGAATGAGAATCCAGTTCTGATTCCGAAGCCTCAAAACTGGGAGGGAAAGGCCCATTTTCTTAGTCATCCACCTGAACATCCCCCACTCATGGATTAGATGAATGCAAAACAGTGGGCCTCGGACTTCACAGGTATAACTGCCGCCCCAGAACGAGGCTGCTGCAAGCCAGACAACACCTTCGTGCCAACTGGGGAAAGGGGCTCTTCCTCAGGTGAGTCCAGCACTGCACCGGGATGCCAGTTTCCGCAGGTGGATTCGGTCTCATTTCGCCTCCTCACTTCTCTCTGTGCACTGCACAACCTGTACAACACTCTGGAGTAGTCCTGCCCAGAAGCTTTTATTCCCATCGTACGTTACATTGAGAAACATGTTAGTCACCAACATCCAAGAATATGGCAATAATATAACATGATAAATGTAAGCATATAACAGGAGGGGGCTTTGAGTGTGCTGATACAGAGACTTGAGGGCGGCTAAAATCAGTGAAGTCAGATTATTTTGCTGACAAAGGTCTGTCTAGTCAATGCTATGTTCTTCCCAGTAGTCATGTATGGATATGAGAGTTGGACCGGAAAGAAGGTTGAGCACCGAAAAATTGATGCTTTTGAACTGTGGTGTTGGAGAAGACTCTTGAGAGTCCCTTGGATTGCAAGGAGATCTAACCGGTCCATCCTAAAGGAGATCAGTCCTGGATGTTAATTGGAAGGACTGATGTTGAAGCTGAAACTCCAGTACTTTGGCCACCTGATGCAAAGAGCCAACTCATTAGAAAAGACCCTGATGCTGGGAAAGATAGAGGGCAGGAGGAGAAGGGGACGACAGAGGATGAGATGGTTAGATGGCATCAGTGACTCAATGGACATGAGTTTGAGCAAGCTCCGGGAGTTGGTGATGGACAGGGAAGCCTGGCGTGCTGCGATTCATGGGGTTGCAAAGAGTCAGACACGACTGAATGACTGAACAACAACGAAAGGTCTCCCAAGAAGCCAGACCGGCTGCCTGGGAGGAGGCCCTGCCCAGAGTCCCCCCACCCCTACATGCCTCCTCCTCAAAGCATCCTTAGAAAGAACCACCTATGAGTATCCACTGGAAGCACTCTTGATGGCCAGACGGTCAGTCCAGCAAGATTTGCTTTTAGTAAGTTGGGAAAGGAGGTAAGATTCTCTGCCAATACTTGGCCTGGTGCTTACTTGCAAGCTTGATTTAATACTCTCCTCTGTCTCCCCGAGCCGCCCAAGGCCAGTCCTCTAACACCCAGCTCCCAGGATGGCCATTCTTAGAAAACTATGAGGCAGTCCCTCTCGCAGCATCCTGAGTTCCTCAGTCTCTGGCACTCTTTGGGGTAAGAGCCATGATCCCCGTGGCCCTGGAAATTGCAGCCACTGCATTCCAGAAGGGCATCCCACTCCTTTTCACCCCTGCTGACAGTGTTCCAAGCCAGGAGGACATAATGTAAGAATTGTTCCCATCCCCTGCCCCCAGCCCCTGGCTCTACCCTTCAGATTAACCCAAGCCTCCCTGCAGCCTCCCTCACCAGTCACCAGGGGACAGGTGCATGATAACCAACCCTTACGATCATACAGACTTCTGGAACATCAGAGCAGCGATGCTGGGGACCTTATCAAGCTAGAAAAGCAGGACCCGGTGAGGGGCAAATGGCCAACACCAAGGATCTCAAACTTCTTCCCTGATATCAACAATTTTGCAAAGGTTTTTGGGATATGAACCCTATAACTGGCCTTGGTGGTTCTAGGATTTCTAGGTGAGAGAGGCTTAGAAGCAGCAGCCTGATGTTAGGGGTGAGGGTGGACACTGAGCACACTTGCCTTGAAGCTTCATTTGCACAGAAAGCACACTTTTTTATACTGCCAGCCTTTGTCTGGAGAGGTTATCACAGGATTGAACTGGTTAAGATTATAGGAACTGCCTTGAAACTATGTGTGCATAGCACACCCACTCTTTGCTTTACGTGTATGTCATAGACCAACAAAAACCACAAATTTCTCTGCTCACTATTCTCTAAGGATGCTTTTATTCACCTTCTACATTAGATTAAGAAACATGTCAGTTATCAACAACCAAGAATATGATAATAATACAATGTGATAAACATATACATATAACATGCAGGAAGAGGGGGCTTTGAGCGTGCTGATAGAGACTTGGGGGAGGTTAAGATCTCCCAAGAAGCCAGAGCTGCCTCCTGGGAGGAGGCCCTGCTTTATTAGCCAGTTTAAAAGGCGGTGAGATCAGAGCCACACACAGAGTCTCCACTGGGGATCTGGAGGGAACCAGGAGAGGTTCTCAACTCAATCAGAACTAAAGAAAGAGTATAAAGTGAAGTGGTCAGACACAGACAATGCATTCTGGCTTTGTACAGGTTGTGTGACCTTGGACAAGTCACCTAACCTTGCTGAGCTTCCACTTCTTCACCTGTTCCATGCTAATAGCAGTGGACTCCCTGGTGATGTGGGTATTACAGAGGGCAACCCCTGAGAAACTCAGCACGGCGCCTGGCACATAAGAAGAGTCATGAAGCACTCAGCAAAACACCTTATGGATCAGACATGCGCTGTTACCTATCCACACTGGGGACCATACGGAAGTGGGTTCACTGTGAAGCTAATGAGGTCTTTAGAGGTTCAGAGCCACTCCCAAGCCATGTACTGAATTCTGTACTTGTAAATCTGTATGCCCTTTCTTAAAGAAAGCCTCTCAGTTAGTATAAGTTTCTGGCCCCATAACACTTGGACCTGCCCCTGGGTTCACAAATCTTGCTAGAGAGCAGAGCAGAGCAGAGCAGAGCAGAGCAGAGCTTTCAGAACCCTCTGCAGAGGAGAGAGACCCTGTGTGTTTCATCACTTCTTCCCCAGACCTCCGCCTGGGACCCCCCCAGACCCACCCTGCCTTCTACCAGTGATGCTTCATAAAGTGAGGCAACGTCTTCGCTCAGACCCTCACATCGAGTGTTGGAAGCTAGCATGGCAAAATCCTCCATCTTATAGACAAGGAAAAGGAGACCCAAAGAGGAAAGGAGACAGGTCCAAGGTCCTTAAGTCACCAAGTGGCCAGGGATGGGACGGCTTTTAAATAAGCAGCCTAATCCTTACACCAGCATTTACTGCTTTTCTCTCACATGTCAAGAAAGTCTAACTGCTAGGATATTTCCACACCGAAGACTTTGTCCTGGATCTTTCAACACCATCTTCTTAGTATTACTTCCTCACCCCTTCCTCCAAGCAGCCCTCTCTGAACACTTCTCCCCACTCCCCTGGTACTCTGCTGGAAGAGCTGGGGAATCTGCCACTAAATTATACCCTCTCTTTAACTTTTATGAACATGTAATGTTTCATTGATGGCAATTAATGAATAATTAAAATCTTATTGTTGGATGGTATCACCAACTCAAAGGACATGAGTTTGAGCACACTCAGGGAGATAGTGAAGGACAAGGAGAGCCTGGTGCGCTGCAGTCCACGGGGTTGCAAAGTGTCGGACACGACTTAGCAACTGAACAATATCTCATTGAGGGACAGTGAAACAACTTCCTGGAGGTAGAAGCCTTGTCTAATGAGCCTCACACCTTCCCTTGATGCCCCAAATGTGCTGGGCACAGGTGAGGGACCCACCAGGGGACCTGCGATACCATCTTCTTCTCCCACTGGTGATGAATTTTGTCGTGACACTCCTGACCTCAATCTGCAGCCTTTGATCTTCTATGGATTACTTTCTTTGAGAGTCTAGAAACAACCTAGGTTCTGGATTCTGATAAGCGAGGGATTGATCCCACTCAGCTGCCTGTTGTGTGACTGTGAGCAAGACACTTCTCTCCCAGCCTCACTTTTCTCCTCTGGAAAATAAGGCAAATAGTCCTCCCCACTCGGAGGGGCATTTTCAGTTTGGATTAAGTCAGCTGCTGCACATAGGCAAAGTTAAGCGCTGCACCTTGCCCCTGGTGGCTCAGAGGGTAAAGAATCTGCCTGCACTGCCCTGGATCGGGAAGATCCCCTGGAGGAGGGCAAGGCAACCCACTCCAGTATTCTTGCCTGGAGAATTTCATGGACAAAGGAGGCTGGTGGGCTACAGTCCACGGGGTTGCAGAGTCAGACATGACTGCGCGACTTTCACTTCACACTTGCTCCCAGTAAGCATTTATTAAATCTTGGCTGTTCTCCATCGTATAAGGCACATCGAATAAAGACCAGCCAGTGTAGTCTTCGGCACTTACTGGGTACCAGGCTCAGTTCTAAGAAATTAACATATATTGCCTCTTTTTAATATTCACCACCGTCCAATGGATCCCTATGATCATTTCCCCCGTGTTTACAAATGAACAAAGTGAAGTTCAGAAAGGTTAAGCCCCAGATCACACAGCTTGCCATTCATCAAGTGTTTCTTGTGATTATCAAGTGAAATGTGCCACACATCACCAAGCACACAGCCAGAGCTCGATAAAGAGAAATCATTCCTGCAGAAATGACAAGATCCAGAAGGCTACTGGGACCCGGGCTCCCAGGAGCAGCAGCGGCTGGGAAAGGGGAATTGTGTTCACATCAGTGCAAGGCAGGGAAAGCGAGGGAAGGCGGAGGGGCGGGGGGTCTGGTGAAGTCTAGACTGGGACCTCTGCGGTGTTCCTCCTCCGAGGCTCGGGACGGCAGGGTCCTGACTGTGGAGCGGCCGCCCGGGGCGGGCGGAGCGGGGGGACGGCCCAGGAGAGGCGGCGTTACCTTGGGCGGGAGGGCGAAGACCACCGGCAGTAGCACGAGCGGTGTGAACAGCAGCACCAGCAACCGCCGCGCGCTCCACACCTTCTTGGCCACGGTAGCCAGCGCCGCCATCTGTGCGATCGCCCCGCGGCGCGGGCCAGCCCGGGACTGCCCGCGCCGGTCCCGGCTCCGGGCTTATAGCCTGGGGGCAGGGTCCGGGGAGGGGACTGCGCTCGGGGACCCGCCCTCCCCCCTACGCGCGCCTCCGGGAAGAAAAGGGTGGGGCCTGCTCCCCTGGGACTTGGGGAAAGAGGCCCGGGAAAGTTAGGAAAAGTTGGACCCAAGAACCAGGGAAGCGCACTCTAGCCCAGAAGACTGAGTAGCCGCCTGACTTTCCAGCTGTGTGGCCCGAGGCTTCACTGTTCCCTACTTGCCTGTGAAAAGCGCCACACCAGACCATTTGAGGACTGAACCGCTTACTAGCCTTAACAGGATTCGTATTCCGCCTCTGCCGCGTACTAGTTGCGTGGCCTTGACACTGGCCTCTGAGTCTCAGCTTACTCATCCACAAAGTGGGGGTGATGATAATATTAGTCGGAACTACACAAGAGGTCTGTTGGGAGTTCTTGCTGTTCATACTGTTTTTACTTATTTTTCTTCCTGTGTGGGTCAGTCATCTGTAGGTCGGAGCCTGTGTGTGTCTGCATTAGTCACTCCATCACGTCTGACTCTTTGGGATCCCACAGACTATAGTCCTGTCAGGCTCCTCTGTCCATAGAATTCTCCAGGCAAGAATATTGGAGTGGGTAGCCATTCCCTCCTCCAGGGGATCTTCCTGCCCCAGGGATTGAACCAGGGTCTCCTGCTTTACAGGTTGCCTGGAGGAGTCTTTTTGTTCCTTCTGGATAAGTGCATGGGAATACAGTCCTGGGTTGTATGGCAGTTGCATCCTTGGTTTTTGTTTTTTTTTTTTTAATTAGTAAACCACCAAACAATTTTCCAAAGTGTTAGCACTCTATTACATTTCTGTTAGCAATGGATGAGTGATCCAGTTTCTCCATGTCCTTGCCAACACTGGACTTGTAAGTTGCTTTTTTTTTTTTTTATTTCAGCCACACTGATAGGGGCGTAGAGAAATCTTGTGGTTTTAATTTACATTTTCTTAATGGCTAATGATGTTTAACATCTTTTCATGTGCTTGTCTGTCATTTGTATATCTTCTTTGGGGAAAACTATCTCTTCCTGTTGTTTGCCATTTTCTCATTGGACTGTTTTTTCTGCTGTTGAGTTTTGAGAGTGCTTTATATAGCCTAAATACTGGTCTTATGATAGATATGTTATTTGCAAAAATTTTCTCCCAGTCTATAGCCTAGCTTTTCATCTTGCTAACAGACCTTTCACAGAGCAAACACTTGAAGTTTTGGTGGAATCAAAATGATGAAATTTTCCCTTTTTTGTATCATGCTTTCGGTGTCAAACTCTGCACAGCCCTAGATGCTAAAGATTTTCTCAGATTTTTTTCTAGATGTTTGATAAGTTATAGTTTTGTATTTAAGACCATGAGTTAATTTTTATATCAGGTACAAGGCTTAGGTTGAGGTTTTTATTTTATTTATTTTTGCCTATCATTGACCAATTGCTGCAGCATCATTTGTTTAAAAAGTTATCTTTATTCCATTGAATTCCTTTTATACTTTTGTCAAAAATCAACTGGCATATTTGGTTGATCTGTCTCTGGGTTCCCTATTCTGTTCCATTGATCTAACTGTCTATCCCTCTACCAATACCGGGTTTCCCCAGTGGCTCAAGGGGAAAAGAATCCACATGCAATGCAAGAGACACAGGAGACTCGGGTTTGATCCCTGGGTTGGGAAGATCCCTGGAGGAGGAAGTGGCAACCCACTCCAGTATTCTTGCCTGGGAAATTCCCTGGACAGAGGAGCCTGGACATGACTTAGTGACTAAACAACAACAAAACTGCAATTTTGAGCAAAGTAGATGGTATTCTTTTTTTTCAGGATCCATATGCTCACTGATAGTACACTGAAATAAAGTTGAATTTTTACCTTATACCCTAAATCTTGTTTACCTTATACCCTAAATCTTGTTCAATTCATTTATTAGTTTTAGGAGTTTTTTTTTGGTCACATCTTTGAGACTTTCTATATAGACAATCATGTCATCTACAAATAAGAACTGATTTATCTTTTCCTTTCAAATCTGTATGAAATAGGGCTATTTGAATTATCTACTTTATACTGCGTGCATTGTGGTAGTTTATATTGAGTTGGCCAGAAAGTTCTTTAGGGTTTTTCTGTAAGATGTCATGGAATTTTCTGAGGAGTGTTCTAGTAAATTGTTAAACGTTTGCATGTGGAGTTTTGAGTACTCCCTTTTGATGTCTGCAGGTTCTATAGTGATATCCTTGATTCCTTCATCCATTCCTGATTCATTCATTTGGTAATTTGCATCTTTTCTCTCTCTTTTTATCAGCCTTACTTGAGATTTTTAAATTTAATCCTCTTTTTAAAGAACTAATTCTGTGAGGTTGTTTTTTCTGTTTTCAGTTTCATTGATTTCAGGTCTCATATTTCTTTTTTCCGTCCTTCTGCTCATTCTTCTTTTTCTAGGCCATTGAAATGGGAGCTTAGATTATCGAGTTGAGATTTTTTTCCTCTTTTCAAAAATATACATTTAATGATAAACATTCCCCCTCTCTATACTGGTTTAGCTGTATCCCACAAATTTTATGTGATGTATTTTCATTTTCATTCAATTCAACGTTTCAATTCATTCAACTTTCCATTGCAATATCTTTTTTGACCCATGGATTACTCAGAAGTGAGGTATTAGTTTCTAAGTGCTTGGAGATTTTCATATTATCTTTCTGTTCAGTTCAGTTGTTCAGTCGTGTCCGACTCTTCATGACCCCATGGACCACAGCATGCCAGGCCTCCCTGTCCATCATCAACTCCCACAGTCCACCCAAACTCATGTCCATTGAGTCGGTGATGCCATCCAACCATCTCATCCTTTATTGTCCCCTTCTCCTCCTGCCTTCAATCTTTCCCAGCATCAGGGTCTTTTCCAATGAGTCAGCTCTTCGCATCAGGTAGCCAAAGTATTGGAATTTCAGCTTCAACATCGGTCCTTTCAATGAACACTCAGGACCGATCTCCCTTATGATGGACTGGTTGGATCTCCTTGCAGTCCAAGAGACGCTCAAGAGTCTTCTCCAACACCACAGTTCAAAAGCATCAATTCTTCGGCGCTCAGCTTTCTTTACAGTCCAACTCTCACATCCATACACAACTACTGGAAAAACTATAGCCTTGACAAGATGGACCTTTGTTGGCAAAGTAATGTCTCTGCTTTTAAATATGCTGTCTAGGTTGGTCATAACTTTCCTTTCAAGGAGTAAGTGTCTTTTAATTTCATGGCTGCAGTCACCATCGTAGTGATTTTGGAGCCCAGAAAAACAAAGTCAGCCACTGTGTCCACTGTTTCCCCATCTATTTGCCATGAAGTAATGGCATGCCATGGGAGTGTATGCCATGATCTTAGTGTTCTGAATGTTGATCTTTAAGCCAACTTTTTCACTGTCCTCTTTCACTTTCATCGAGAGGCTCTTTAGTTCTTCACTTTCCGCCATAAGGGTGGTGTCATCTGCATATCTGAGGTTATTAATATTTCTCCTGGCAATCTTGATTCCAGCTTGTGCTTCATCCAGCCCAGCATTTCTCATGATGTACTCTGCATATAAGTTAAATAAGCAGGGTGACAATATACAGCCTTGATGTACTCCTTTTCCTATTTGGAACTAGTCTGTTGTTCCATGTCCAGTTCTAACTGTTGCTTCCTGACCTGCATACAGGTTTCTCAAAAGGCAGGTCAGGTGGTCTGGTATTCCCATCTCTTTCAGAATTTTTCACAGTTCATTGTGATCCACACAGTCAAAGGCTTTGGCATAGTCAATAAAGCAGAAATAGATGTTTTTCTGGAACTCTTTTGCTTTTTTGATGATCCAGTGGATGTTGGCAATTTGATCTCTGGTGCCCCTGCCTTTTCAAAAACCAGCTTGAACATCTGGAAGTTCATGGTTCACATATTGCTGAAGCCTGGCTTGGAGAATTTTGAGCATTACTTTACTAGTAGTGTGTGAAATGAGTGCAATTGTGTGGTAGTCTGAGCATTCTTTGGCATTGGAATGAAAACTGACCTTTTCCAGTCCTGCGGTCACTGCTGAGTTTTCCAAATTTGCTGGCATACTGAGTGCAGCACTTTCACAGCATCATCTTTTAGGAATTGAAATAGCTCAACTGGAATTCCATCACCTCCACTAGCTTTGTTCATAGTGATGCTTCTTAAGGCCCACTTGACTTCACATTCCAGGATATCTGGCTCTAGGTGAGTGATCACACCATGATGATTATCTGGGTCGTGATGTGGTACACTAGAGAAGGGAATGGCAAACCACTTCAGTATTCTTGCCTTGAGAACCCCATGAACAGTATGAAAAGACAAAAAGATGGGACACTGAAAGATGAACTCCCCAGGTCGGTAGGTGCCCAGTATGCTACTGGAGATCAGTGGAGAAATAACTTCAGAAAGAATGAAGGGATGGAGCCAAAGCAAAAACAACACCCAGTTGTGGATGTGACTGGTGAGAGAAGCAAGGTCCGATGCTGTAAAGAACAATATTGCATAGGAACCTGGAATGTTCAGTCCATGAATCAAGGCAAATTGGAAGTGGTCAAACAGGAGATGGCAAGAGTGAACGTTGACATTTTAGTAATCAGCAAACTAAAATGGACTGGAATGGATGAATTTAACTCAGATGACCATTATATCTACTACTGTGGGCAAGAATCCCTGAGAAGAAATGGAGTAGCTATCATAGTCAACAAAAGTCCAAAATGCAGCACTTGGATGTAATCTCAAAAATGACAGAATGATCTCTGTTTATTTCCAAGGCAAACCATTCAGTATCACAGTAATTCAAGTCTATGCCCTGACCAGTAACGCTGAAGAAGCTGAAGTTGAACGGTTCTATGAAGACCTACAAGACCTTTTAGAACTAACACCCAAAAAAGATGTCCTTTTCATTATAGGGGGCTGGAATGCAGAAGTGA